AAAGTGATTTCTGACAAAAATAATGTGGGAAATATATGAGTAGCGCTCATGTTAGAAATATTGACATCCCAGTATAGAAGACCCATATCCCTGGGAGAGAATGTGCACGTGTGTGTGTGCATGTGCGTGTTTGTGTTCGCATGTGCATACAAGTGTGTGGGTGAGCAAGTGTATGCCATTTTTCACATGTTGCACAACACAGTGAGTCATTGTTGAGAGTTGGTAGTCAGTGACACAGTAAAATTAGGAATTTTTTATATGTATTTATTTTTTCAATATGCTGTAATCTGCTTTATACGTAACTGTTAATCAGTCAAGAAGGGATCAGTTGATATTGTTTTGATGTAATGATTGTGTGACGGATTATGGTCTACATATTTTTCTTTACCTTTCTGTAGTCGCAGTAATTTTTTGTATTCATTGTTGGCGCAGACATTTTTATAAGAATGTCGTTGGTAACTTTTACAATTTGTACTTCAGTCTTGATGGTCATTAAAAATACTGTGTACTTACTTGTTGTCGTTCTCTTTACTCTCCTTAGTTATATTGTTGTTTTTTTTTCGTTGTATAAATGTATTTCATCGTTTGAAGTACATCGGATTGATGCTACAGGTATTTTTTCTTGCCTTGTGGTCCACTAGGTTTCAAATGGAACTTGAATTATATATATGTAAAAATAATCAAAACTGACAGAGAAACATTATCATTGTTCATACATAATTTCTTTCCCTAAGTCTTCCGTAACATTACACTCAGGACATGCAATATATAGTGTTTAAACAGGCAAGGTTCCACATATCCAATGTTTTATTAATAGAAGTTATTATGTGCTGATCATGACAATTTGCTATGTATTGTAAAAAAAGGGAAAAATTGAGATTAATAACTTCAGAGCACAAGAAATGTATTTACTCTCATATATTAATCTTTTTTTACAAATTTCCCAATGAAATCCATTCAGGTAAGTTTATCGTGTGTCAACTAAAAGATTTAATTCTGATATTCTAATAATTATATACTGACTAAAGCAGAGACTCAGTATAATTTATAGTGAGAAATCATGGTTGCATTGTATATAAATCTATGAATAGGATTATTCTTTTGCTTTCTTCTTTTATTTTGTAGATATTTGTTATTCAACTCCTTTGTTTTTTCTCTTAATATTTTTCTTGATCTGTCTCCACAAATGCATTTTTTCTCTCCTTGTTTTTTCCTATATCACTGCTCGCTTCTTTTCTCTCGTTTGTAATTTCCTTTTTTTTTTTCCTTTGTCACGATTTTTCAACTTTTGTTTTCTTCTATTTCCTTTTCTTCCGTCTTATATTCTCACCTTTCCTATCTGTTTATAAGCAGAGCAAAGAGCAAGATGACTTATTATTATATTATTTTTTATTCATCATTGTTTTCCTTTCTTTCTCCTCTTATTTTCTCTTTTCTTTTCTGTTTTCCTTTAATTATCCTTTCCTTTTATTATTTGCCTCATCTTTCAGTTTGTCCAGATTGTTATTATTGTTGTTATCATTATTATTATTATTATTATTGTTATTATTATTTTATTATCATTATTATCATTTATTATTTCTCCTTTTTCTCTTTTTCTTATTTTCTTCTTCCCTCCATTTAGGCCTTCTTATTTTCTTTTTGTTTCTTATTCACCTCTTTACCTATGTCTGTCCTACAGGTGTGGGGTGTGGGGGGGGGGAAGGAGGCAATTCAAAAGTGGCGCCTTTTCTATTCTCTTTTTTTTTTATTTTGTTTATCATTAGAAAGTGTTGCTTACTGAAGTGGATCAAGATGGAGCATTTGATACCATTCATGAAGTGAAATTTGGACAAGAGAGACTGTTGTTGTTTTATGTGTTTTTTTTCTGCTTCGAATCAATATTTGGAATAATTTATGAAGTCTTGTCTTTTGAGCTAATACTCTATACTTATACTTTAAACCGCTTTAATTTTGAATACAGGACAACCACTATATATTTCCTTTGATACATTATTCTATTTTGTTTTTTAAATTCGATACAAAGATACGTAACGGACTTAAAATGGTTTCGTTACGTGTTATAAATTAGGAGTTATAGTTATAATTAAGTGATAGTTAAGAGATTTTTCTTTTAGAGCTGTTTCTTCGTCGCCCTTGTTTCAATTGTTTAAACTTATAAGGGAATCGTATAAGTAGCTCCGTAATCCCCCATTACACTCTTTGGTCAAAATGGAATGTTGGAAAACCCATTTAGAACAACAATTTGTTTCGGGTTGTTTAAGCGTAATGGCCATTCCTCATACTCAGAATATGTCATTCAGTAATTAGTAACACACGTTATTTTTAGAGAAGAAAAACTAAAAAACACACATTATTATTCTTATTTTTTGTAACTATCCTTTGTAGATTTTGTAATTTCGGGCGTTATTTGTCTTTCTTATATGAATTTATTTTTCAGGCTCCTGTTTTAAATTGTTTTAGCTTGCAGTTTTGCAGCTACCCAGATGATGGTTGTGGG